AGAACGTTTTGGTCGAGATTCCGCAGAGCACTCGAAAGTGCCTCGAATCTGGATTCCTGCTTTATCCAAATTCTTTCTAGTTCCCTTGTACGAGTCACAAATATGACATTCCGTTAGAAATGTTGCATTATTTTGCATATTTCAATAAACAATTTGTGACTAACGCGTCACGTTGCATGCATTCACCTGTAAGATAATTTTAAAAGGAGCGTGCTGTCAGTCAACGCAGGCCAAAGAAAGCTCGCGAAGACAGTCCTACAGGCCACTTCTTAAAGTCGTTTCGAGCTGCGCAATTCGACGCTACGGACTGACGTTCTTCTGAAAAGCTCAGCAAATGCCGCTTTGCCAGCTGCGTACTGTAACGAGACATTGCAGGTTGGCTTTTTCTGAATCTCGTCATGTGAGATTTATAGGTGTCAGTTTGCAGTCTCTTCCAGTTATCGTCTCATCCGTAGCAGAAAACTCTACTCGAGTAGGATTACCGCAGATAGGGTAGTTTCAACACAGCCTTACAACAGACCACTTTCATACCTTTTGACACATATCCATCCTGGTGACTCCATGGACATCTGGCTCTGTTCAGCATCTGGTGATCCGATAAGCATCAAGCAGCGTTTTTCAAAGGAAAACGATTCGTTAAAAGTTTTGTTACTGAGGCAGAGACACGGAAGTAAGAAAGTATAAAGAGGGCGTATCAGCAAATTAACAATTAATAGCGGCGTGCACTAAGGTAGCGGGTGCGATCATGCGTTTTGCGCAGTTTCGACCAGCGGACGTTTGCTTCCTAAGGATTTTCACTGTTTTACAACTGGTTTGTGAAAAAATATTCGGTATGCCATTGGTTGCTAAGTTGCGGCATTTCACATCAAAAATTTCACGTACCAGTATGTGAAAGCTGAATTTGAAAGCTTGGACGGTCAACACTGCTCCAAAACTTCAACCTCTTAGTTCTCTGGACTTCGACTAACTTTCGCGCCAAAACTTTTACATAGTCGCAAGTGAGACCTTGGCATACTTAGAAGCCAAGTTCGAGTCTATTAGGCCCCTGCATGGGCAAAAAACATCCTCCTAAAGTTTTCAGCTTCTCAGCTCTTCTTGCTTCGAAAACAATTTTTTCCGGTAGAATTTTCAAGGTGCCGTAAGCGAAAGCCAGGTTTACGTAAAAGCTGAATTCGAATTTGCGGGGCGGTATGTGGGCAGAAGTAAAATTTCAGCCTTTTAGCTTTCTTGGTTTCTGAGACAGTGTTTCCCCGCCAAAACTTCCACGGGACCATATGTGATGTCTAAGCGAACGAAAAGGCTGAATTTAAAATAACGGTGTCGTGCAGGGGCAAGGGACATTAGCCTAAAATTTCAGCTCCCTAGCCTTCGCGGTCCTCGAGATAACAATTTCTCCGCTAAACTTTCGCAGGGCCGTACGTGGTACCCGGGAGTAAGCGAAGGCTCAATTTAATTATGCGGGGCCACATGGGGAGCATTCTAGTAAAATTTCAGCTTCCTAGCTTCTCTGGTTTCCGTGTTGAAACCCCCGGATAAAATGCACCCTCAGCACACAAACACAAAGACACACAGCACAGAAGCAAACACACACAGACAGGGTCTCGACAATATGCATTTTGTACAACTGTTGCAGCACAGAACGCATAAAGAACAATTCACGCTGTTTGATGCGAAAGAGGTGCGAAGACGAAATGGAGGCGTGATGTATATTTATTTTGCAATTAGCACACTTTTTATCCTCCATCGGGAGCTTACTGAGGACGCGGAACATTTTGGGGCACACTAGAAATTTCACGTACCAGTA